TGTCTTTTTTTTTATATAGTTTCACCCACTCGACATTTTTGCGTCTTACTATTATCACTGATGCGCCTATACTGCCATATTCAGGAAAATGGAAACTTTGGATACAATGCATACACATAAAGTTCTAAAAATAATTTGATGCGTGAAATGAAATAGGATTTAACATCTTACTTTTCTGCTACATCTGGGCTAATGCTAATCAGTGTGTTGTAACCTACTTATTCCGTATTCCATCTGGCTATGGTTCTTTTACATGCGCGCAAACTAATACACGGGCCTTCGTTTTTGTCCCATCCTAAGGACTAGGCGCTGTTCTTGCCAGCCCCCGCGTCCTGTATCTTTGACAAGGGGAAACCACACCAGAAAATCCCGAAGAACTCTCTTGTCCACTGCAGCTTCCTGGGTAGACCATGGGTATGATTTAGCCACCTGGTAAGATATCGCCAGTAAATGGCAGATGATTTTAATCAATTTAAACCCCAAATTTATTCCAATTTCCATTCTTTGGAAGTTTGTAGATATCAGATATCGACCGGGATAGAATATTACTTTGATACGTGCCAAAGTAATATACACAAGCCATTATTCTGTTTTCCTATCTAAAAATGGGCACTTATTATTCCTACCACTAACTTATTACTTATCCTTGCCACAGTTTTAAAGTTTATTTTTATTTAATGATGTAATTGCAGTCGTCGTTAGTTACGAGTTATTCGGTTTAGTTTATTATAACTGTCAGTTTATTGCGACAAAATCTGCAAGTTTTTACTTGTCAAGTTGTCATTGTAATTAATCTGTACTTTTACGCCCCATATTAATCGGTGATGTATTTAGTTTAGACTTATTGCAAGTGTAATAAGTTTTTATTCCTTATCATGTCTCACTTGAATACAACAAAAAGAATTACGAATGTGCCTAACTCAACCCGTCTTAATCCAATGTTATCATCATATTTTCATTCATTTTACATAAAAGGGAGTGCGATGGGTTTTAACGTCCTACTTTTTGAACCAACTGGGTTCATAAATACTACATACGCCATGCAGTGTGGTATGAGGGAAATTTTGCCGAAAGTGGCTCTACACGGAATCTCAGTGTTTCGTCCCATTAGAACGACTAGTCACTGTTCATCGCTAGACCCTCCCGGCTGCACCACTGAAACGCTATCGGGATCGAACACCGGATCTCCTGGTTAGTGAGCCAGCGCCATAGTCTTTGCCGACGACCCGAAGAACAAGGCAAGATTAATATATGTGAAGAATGTGCGCTATCTGCCACAAACTTGTATATACCATTTTAAACCGAATCAATTAGGAGAGTATGATTTTATTGTATACAGATACAGTTAAATGTATTTCAATATGATGCGTCTAACACACTATAAAAAACGAAGAATTTGTTCCATTTACCACAAAAAAAGGCCCACTACTTGAAATTGTATAAAAGATAACGAATATTTTGTTAGAAAAAAATCACAAAATTAATATGATAACTCATAGTTTTCATAAATATTTCCTTACTTTATTTACTTTTCATTTTTACTGGGTTTTTATTATGATTTTGGCATGATACGTGTATCATTTGGCCATATCTCTATCTTTTTTCGCATGTTTCCGCTATCTTCCATTTACTCCATTGGGGTATATTTTGTCAAATTTCCAGGGTTTCAAAATAACATCTTTTATCAAATTTAGCTCGGTAGTCGTGTATTTTGAGCACGGTGAACAGTCCATTTGCTGATTACACTATTTTGCTTAATATCGTTTTTTTAGGATTGTTCGAACTTGGTTTTATTTCATTTATACTGACAGTTTTCATCGATTGCATAGTTATGAGCTTCTATGAGGCAATAACCCTCAACACCCATTGACCATGGAAGTCGGTTCCCGCCAAGGAGTGTGTAACGACTCACCTGCCGAATTCGTGGGCCCTGAAAATGGCTGGCGCTGTAGCGTGCAGCCTACACCAGACCGTCTCGGCAATTCCTCGCTGCCTGCCTTGGACGCGAGTCTGTGTATAGCGGCCGCGGGTGCCGTACTTTTGTCTGCAATATCACCCTAGGTGGAAGCAGGCGTTAAAAACCTGACACCCCCCCCACACACACACACACACACCCACACACACACGCGCGGCTCAAGAAAAACAATATACAACATAACAAGTTTATGTTTGTCCTTGCATGTATACCGGAACAGAATTTGCAGAAATGTCTCAAACTGAACACGCAATGGAATATGAACATCTCGAGAGAGTATCGATAATACATATTGTAAAATTTACTTTTCAGTGCAAAATGTTAACAATATCTTTAGACCTTCTTCTGGTGACTGTTCATAACCATCCGTCAACGTGTGTTTTACACTTCTTGGAAACCCACCACTCACCATATAGTATCTAATGGAGAAAACAGGTACGACAAAACTGCATAATTTTAATATTATTCCACATATAGTAATAAGGGAACCGCGGTGGCTCAGTTAGTAAGGCATTGGCTCGCTAACCAGGAGGTTTCTGGATTTTGCGACGTGGTGCAGGACAGAGGGCCTGACAAGGGGGGTGGGTGGGCGCATAATCGTTCGGATGGGATGAAAAACCGAGGTTGTGTTCAGACATGGATGTGCACAAAAAATAACATTGGCTGGCGGAATTCGATATAAGAGTAGGTCGTAGCGCCGCTGTCCGTGCAAAATTTCCTCAAAGGACGTTAAAAGCTATTTTAATATAGTAATAGAACAAGGTTAATACACTAAGACAGGGTTTTCATAATTTTTTAAAATGGATATAAAAGGTGTCAATGACGTCGTGGTTGTATAAACTAAATCTGTTATTTATAGCGACGTTGGTATGTTGGTTAATCCAATCTGATTCTTCAGTTAATACACAGTCAATTAGGAAAATGCCCTTGTATACGTTTGTGTCTAGATCAAAGATTATCAAGTCTATTTACCTCCCCCCCCCCCCAAAAAAAAAACAAACAAACCCCAACCCCAGATCAAAGCAATGGATATACAATGTTGAAGATACCATTGCTACGAGCTTAAAAAATACAGAAACATTAACGGTCGTCATATTCGTAATTTTAATTGGGCTCCACCTTATGCATCAACGATCAATTTCACCATATTTTACAACATTTACGACCGAATAATCTGGAAATTCAATATACCCTAAAGAACATTCGAACAAACTTCACAATAACTCATAACTTTGAATGTAAAAGGAGCAAATAAAATTGATCAATCGCTGCAAATTTGAAAATATCTATAGAGCATTCACAAGAAATTACACATTCGAACATTGGGGAGAATGGCAGTCCGAAAATATATAAGCACGAAAGGACTGGGCTGGTAGTCAAACAGACGAATCAAGGGACACAAACAATCGTACTTTCGTCTGCAATATTTGTACCATCTATCTATCATTAGAATATGACATAATCAAATTAATAAATTTTTTAAACGTAAAACCCCAAAATTTTCAGCTTAATTTAATGTTTTAATTGAGCTACAGTCTGTTTTCCAATTTTGTTATTGTTACCTGGTTGCATTAAGAATGGGAATGGAAACGACATATTTAATCTTTCATGCATATTAAAATGCATCAGTTTTAAATATCAGTGTAGATTATTCTAAGAAGTTGTTGAAAGGTTCAGTATTGATGATGTCGACATAGTTTGCTTTTTAGTAAAAGTTATCAAAATAATAGACTTCGGTGCGTCTAAAAAAATACAGCTCTATCAAACCACAAAGGAGTCTGTCTGTCGCTATTCTGTCTATATTAAAGAATGTATACTTCATCAAAGCATATCATCTTGTCCATCAAGAACGAACATCAAGTCCAGTAACTATAATTGAAAATTCATAACATTATTATTTGTCATGTATTCTACTTCGCCCTTTTGATGTCAGGCATATGGTTGTCGTTTAACTTTGTGATCTATATTTCAAAGGTTAACTTTGTAATTTTACTAAAATCCACTTATTGCACTTGTTAATGATTTTATAAAACACGTTAGTGTTGTTAAAGATACATTATGGGAGATTAGATAAAGAGCTGGTAGTTCTCGCTATAATAGTTAAAAATTAGATAATGTAAAGAGAATTTGCTGAAAATTTCAGTCAAATTGATCCACCCTGAACGAGTATTTAGCGGTTGAATTTTGGGCCTAGCCTCGATCATCATTACTAAAGTCGGTACCATAAAAAAACATAGTCTCGATTATCCATTTTTTTGATTTAATCAGAAGCAGCAGAACGGGTTCTAATCCAGTAAATATCGCAGCCTAGCGATGCTATCGAGAGTTGATTATGATCTGGATAAGTTAAGTAATGTCTAATTAATAATTTAGATAACATTTCAGACCTAAAGAAAGACCTGCAATTGGCAGATTTTGCTCTTGCATAATATATGTTTAATTTGTGCTTTGTAGAAAAACTGCAAAATAAAATAAATAAAACCGTGGAATTAAAACATTCAATTCCTGGACTATCTACAGTCCTTATTTTGTTTCGTTTTGGGTTTTCACTTCCATACGATCCTAGGGACCTTTGAGACCTAGTGAGATTTACCATCCAGAAATAAGATACAAAACGCTCAAATTAATACGGTATACCATCAGATAAAGTAATATTTTCCATAAACTGGATTTCCAATGTAAAATCTATGTGTTCACAATGAAAGTGAATTTAAAGTAGGGATTTTCTGGGTCGTATGTAAGGCTGAGTAGGGTTGCTCCATAAATCAACCCATGTTGGAATAAACAACAATTAACAAATCGATCAAATTCATATATTGTATCCATTGGAATATTTGTCACACCCTAAGATTACTCTGTTTTTATTGACATCTTAATAACCGTTTAAGAACCTGTTATATTAGGTAATTGTTGAAATTTAAGAATCTGAGAATTGTAAAGTTATGCCTTTATTGATACTTCATCTGATCATTAATTGACATAATATACACTTTAGTTACTATGTACATACTTTCAAACCTATATACATAATCTAATCTAATCTCTATCTCATATAATATACTCTTTACATACTTTCAAACCTATACAAATAATCTAATCTCTCATATTAAAAATCTTTATATTTTTTAACTCATTTTATCTCACTGTTTTGGTTTGCAAATCTGGGTTGGTCGATCTCTGCATGTGAAATTGTAATATCACAGAAATGGCTTAGAAAGTTTGAATATATCACAAAACAGAAAGTCTTAGGTTACTCAATTGTGACACACCAATTTTCCGAAGATATATTATCTTGAGGTTTGAAGACGTCTGGTAAGTAGGGTTACAGCTCATTTCTGAAAGATATAAAATACAAAATCCATAAAATAATTCTGTCTAGAGCATAATTTCGTTTTATAGACATACTGACATCTGAATCTGACATACTTTCTTCAAAAACTGTGTAAATGAAATGAAATGGGATTTAACGCTCTACTGTTCTGCTCCGACTGGGCTAATGAAGACAGGCATACGCCATACAGTGTGCTATGAGGGAAATTTTGTCCGGACAGCGGCGCTCTTATATCGAATTCCAACTGTCAGGGGATCTTTTTCTGTGCACGTTAATGTGTATATAGGACCTCGGTTTTCGTCCCATGCGAACGACTAGACAGCTGTCCTTGTCAGCCCGCGTCCTGCACCACCGACAATAGGAAACCACGCCAGAAAATCCCGATGAACTCTCTCGGCCGACGTCGATACCGGGAGCGAACCCGCGACCTCCAGGCTAGCGAGGCAGTGTCTTACTCACTTAGCCACAGTGGCTCCTTGAAGACTGTGTTCAGATAGCGTGGAATTATAAACCAATCAAAATGCCTATATTGGTAAACGGGGCTTCGTTGTAAATTGTGGGAATTTTAAAACCCAAGGGTGGATCTGATGGATTTGAACTTATAGTATGCCTGTAGTAGGGAAAGTTTATATACATAGAACTGTTAAAGAAAGTAAATTGGATAATAATGTGGTGTAATTAGAAAACAAAAATTGTAATCTATTTTAGATTAGATTGTTCTATATTTTGTAAAGAATATTTCGAATACCCTTAGTAGAGAATCCAAAAAGGGCTTCTGCCACACATTAGTCTCTGGTGCCAAAACAACAGAACAACTGCATGTCAATGTTCTACAGACCATTCCTTTGGATATTTGTTGCCGTTGCGATAATAGTTTCGTAAATAGCTGTTTTATTTTTGGAATATCTATGGCAATTACTTTAAACAGATAACATACTGTATTTTATAAAAGAATCAACTACATTACCGATACAACTTATTATCGTTTAAGACGTTGTCTGCACTGTAACAGAGTGACATCCGGCTATCATTAGCGAGTTATCTAGTAGCGTACACCAACTTGATCAGCATGTTAATTACTTAGTTAAAATGTAGCGGGAATTTATTTACTGACAGACGTCGTAAAAAATAATTAAAACCAAAATAATAATTAACTTCCGGTGCTGTTTTTAGACTATTGGCCAGACAGCAAACCATAAAACCTACGTTGTATTTTGATTGGGGTAGAGTGATTAGATTTTGGGTTGCCCAGAAAGTTGTTGTCTAGATGTTCGGATGTGACTAAAATACGCGGCACATCTGTTTACACATTGTCTTTTTGTCTTTAAAGAACGTTTGACCGAATATGAGTAGGCCGAACATCACTCTCTATTCTAGCCCCCCCGTCGCATTGCCGACATAATCGTAAAAATATCAAAACATGCATGTTAGCCCCATATGATCGAAATTTTGTGGTGACGAGAGGTTTAGCTCCGTTCCCGCCAACAATTTGTAATGTATCCAATTTTAAGTATCTCTTCAATTAAAATCGTCCAAAATAACCCAAACTTTGAGATCGTAGTAAGATCCTCCAGCTGCCCTTTTACTACATGGTTTGCAACTATCCGGACAATCTCCCAATCTGAAATCTGTTTCCCGATAATCTACTTTAGCTACGGTCCAGGACATTTAAAAAAAATCTAGTTAATATAATACTGCTCTACTAATAATCTGGGTTTTTTTCTGTGCAGATAAATTGTTGATGCTAATATATATAATATTTAATGATATTCTTTGAAATTTTTAAGTAGGGTGGCAGGAATGAAAATTATTAGTTATTACTGAATGAACCACTTGATCGCTGAATTACCATTACACCACTGGTTTCCAACCATTTCTGTAGAACAATGGTGTAAACCTTAATGTTTAACAGCTGTTAGTTTGACGGAAATACATCGACCATTACCATACTTTCATAAACTATTTATAATAAACTAGTATAAATATGTAGTTTAGTTGTGTATACAAAATACTGTTTGAACAAATCACAGTGTGTATATGATGTGCAAATGTATATATTTTTGACACACGCTATTTGATTACCGGATTTTATTAACGTACATTCATATCGGTAAATGAAATGGTGTTTAATTATTATTATTATTATTATTGTTCGATTTATATAGCGCTTCATTACACGTATAATGGCCTACTGTTCTGAACCGACTGGGCTAATAAATCCGTGCATCCGCCATACAGTGAGCTATGAGGGAAATGTTGCCGGGACAGCAGCGTTACGGCCTAGTCTTATAATGAATTCCAACTGCCAAGGTTTATTTTACGTGCACGCCAATGTGTCCTCGGTTTTCGTCCCATCAAACGACTACTTATGATTATAATTAACATAACGTGTAAGGGAAGCTGATTGTGTTCATCAGATGAATGAGTATTTTTATGTATAGAAATTAGCAAACGAAGAGCCATTTCTCTAAATAGATTACACTGCGGTTTTTGCAGTGTGTGCATTCCACCGAATTTACTGAAATAGTTTTGCTAATAAAAAATACTGATGATAAGGTGAAATCTCTATTCAAATATGTGATTATAACCTTTACAGTTGTTGGCATATTTTCGCAGAAATAGTTCCGTAAATAAAACCCATACCACGTTCAAGTCATTGAGAATCTGATTTATTTGAAGATTTAACTTTTTGACGAATGAATGATGACTTCTTGCTTGCTTCATTTACCGTCGTTTTTTCTTGAGGCGGTGCTCTGTCGGTTTTCATGATGTTTCATTCAACGCCTTGTTCGCTATCCTAAGTTGAGAGTTTATGACAGGAATGTAAACTGGCACCGTGGTGCATGGCTCACCTTTCAAGATATTTTTATTCTAAAGATTAAACATGGCAATCCGGATGCTAATAGCTATAGAACGAGAATATTAGCTGATGCTCATGGAACTATTATGACCAACCCATTCGATAAACAGCACCTTTGGCGTCTTGTCTTGGTTGCAGAAAATTGGAAATGTCATGCACGGTCTTATTTTATTTTCTTTTAAAAATCTCTAGAAGCTCACTTCACGAGGGCGCAGTATCATAATATGACAGCCTAAAAATATTATGGGTTCATAATATCTTCGATGTCTTTGTTTATTACGATTTAGACATTTTCTGCCTCATTTTATACCCAATTTCTAAATCGGTTCGGTAACTCCCGAGGTGTTTAACCGCAATGATACACCATTTGAAAGTTTTGGCGCGTTTGACCTCGATGATTGAAATTTAAGCTATTACTTAAAATGTAGGAGTGAAAATGTTCACCTACAGCAAAGGGAGAAAAAAAAGTGTAACGTGGCCTGACAGTGTTACTAAATCAATCGAATAGTTAATAAATAATACTGTTCTCAGGATATCACATCTCTTCAGTTTGTAACATTGTTCTTTGATTAATAGGGTCAAACGGCAAAGGCTACCGTGTTAATTATAGATCTTGTCTGTTTATTTGGAAATTAGAATTCCAGACGTTATATTTAAATTGCTACAGTACGTATGTATTATAGATTATATCTATATAGTTACATAATGGTGTAAAGTGAGATTACAAGGAATACATGATTTGTGATGGGTGGATAACCAATTTGTCTTTCTTTTTACATGTCTTGACGGTAACAATGTTGTGGCTAGGACTTATTATGTAATAATTCTACAGAAATACGTTTATATCAATAGACATAGAATAACATCTCAGTATTAAAGTCTTATATAAGACAATTTTTTCCTTATCGTTTGACATATTATGGATGCATGGAATTCCAACCGAACGTAGAAATCGGCGGTAGATTTGTTAAGATTACTGTTGTAGAAAGGATGAACGATTTTTCCACTCAAATTACAAAGACTTCTCCTCTATCCGGGTTATCTTCAACACGATGTGCGTGTCAAGATCAATCCCTTGGCATCGAATTCAAGTTCACTGCATTTAAATGTGATCCCATCTCTCATATCCGACAAAACGATTTGTTTATTTAAAGCTTGGGAATATAGAAATAAGTCAACTTGTAAGAGTCGCTTTACAGGATGATATTAGTGGAAATATTTTATTCATATCTCCACAGACTGGTTTATAGGGGTTTAATCAATAAAAATAAAGGTGTCCATCAGATTATTAAAACTAATACCTGGGACTATTGAACGACCACTATGAGACTATTGAACGACCAACAACACATGGGATTATTGAACAACCTCTAAGACTATTGAACGTTCAGACCACTAAGAAGTGGAACTATTGAACCTTCAGACTATTAAACCATGAGGCAGTTGAACCTTCAGGCCACTAAGACATGGAACTATTGAACCTTCAGATCACTAAGACATGGGATTATTGAACCCTCACGGGACTATTGATCCTTCCGACATGGGACTATTGAACCTTCAGATCACTAAGAAATGTGGCTATTGAACCCCACGGGACTATGGAACCTCCAGACTATTAAACGACGAGACAGTTGAAACTCAAGACTATTAAACGACGAGACCGTAGAACCTTCAGGCTATTAAACCATGAGACAGTTGAACCTTCAGACTAACGAGACAGTTAAACCGTCAGCCTATTAAACCATGAGACGGTTGAACCTTTATGCTTTTAAACCACGAGATTGTCGAACCAAAAGAGATTACTTGAGTATAAACAGATATGTATGTTTTGACGTTCAATACAATGAACTCGGTAATTTAATTTTTAAAACGTCTTAATTGGCTAGTGACATAGATATTTCTTATCCAAGTGAGATATGGCTTACGATACTTCATTGGTAAGAATACTAAGTAAGTAATACTCAACACGATACCGAAACAACATATAAACATAAGAAATAGATCTTTCTTAATCCCGTAATATTAATTTTAGGCGTATAAATGTCCACTGGAAGTTGAACAGCACTTACAATTGTCGATATCATGCAATATAATTATTTACTTTAAGATTAAGTGTCCATTTAATTGCTTCTAATGTTTAAAACAGGGTAAATCTATGTTTATTGGAACTTTTCACACGAGGTTACATATCATTACTAGCATTTGTTTTTTTAGATTTTAAAGGGTTGCGTTTATTTGTTCGGACACTTCTTGTTATTTCCTTCAACTAAACCCCAGCTAAGATTTGACGATTCAGTAATAGATTCCGTATTAAATGAGTCTGAATTTTCAGACCATATCCACTTTCATTCATGTAAAATACTTGGCTGCCCTTTTACAAAAAACAACAGAAATATAATTACATTAAAATGATCTGAATTTCAAATGATAACAGAAATTTGTTCAGCTGAAATTTGCGCCCTGAAATACATTGGAGTGGCCTTTTAGAAGAACACCCAAATGTCCGATTCCACTCTTGTTAAAGGCTTTTTTCTTTGTGTGAAACGCATTGTTGAGAACCGAGTGCGTTTTATTGTAGACATATAACGGATTTCCGCATTGGACGGATTAAAACTGGACGGCCCATCGATTATTTTTTGAAAACAGAATAGAAAATAAAATATTTTACAAGTATTATATAATCCTATTCATAAGTTTTATAAAATCCTATTCATAAGTTTTATAAAATCCTATTCATAAGTTTTAATACTAGATAATTAATTAGATAAACAGTTTAAAAGGTGAATTTACATTGCCAAGGTGTTTTGTGTGTAAAAGTGTTGAAAATTCCAAACCACAATATAATATCCTGATTTTACTGTTACTTAATGTATTTTATGTTCTCATTTAAAATGTATTTAGTTACAACGAGTAGGATATCTTCTTTGGTATCTGATTTTAACGACCACATTCTGGTTTTATTTGGCGATGGTATCTATTTAATTACAAGCTAATCCACAAATTACAGGTAGACCCCGTTAAAAAAGAACTCGTGAATTTCGAACATTAACTGTACGATAACAATAACATGATGCTCTAACTATAACAATAAAAACAACTTTACACCTTGGCGTTGGCTAATTATCTCGTTTATATCATTAAGTAGCTCTCTTAAATATTTATTTCTTTAAGGTGACATTCTAAACTCGCCTAGCTTCAGTAATTGCATGTTGGAATTTGGGAAGCTGGTGAGTTTCATCAAACTCAATCGCACTCACTCTCCCCTTGCTATTGCAGGAATGTAGAATTTCACGACCCGGTATTCCATGAATTATGTTCCTGTCCTGATACCAAAACACACCATGATTACATTTCATCAAAAGAGGTGACGGGACAAAAAATGTTTGAAACGAGAGTTTGGAGGACTGGAAATTAGAAACCTCCCACGTCGATAGGTTTACTTCATTAGTATAGGCAAACATAGGCCATATTACACATACATTTTAATTCAGATTATACCCGGCGTTTGTCGCCTTCTTTATAATCTAATTATTTCCTTACTGACGCAGGGTTGCTAATCCAAACATGTAAATAGATTCTAGAGGATACAGTAAATTGATATAGATGACCACTAATATTTTTTTTCGAGAGGAGTTTTCACGATCCGCGAATAAGAGTATATCAACAATTTGGTACACCGTTGTCATTAATAACAGCCGCCATCAACTGAGACATTGAATCAAAGTGAAGCGAAAAGACATCCTTGTGTTATACCCTCTTCTAGCCGCAGGTTATTGCATTATTTGATTTTCTTTACGCAAAGCCGACAATCTGCTTTTGGTGAGGAATCTAATCAAATGAAACCAAATCATTGGACCTTGAACCGCCCACATAATGTTTCCACTGAGAAAATAGCCCTTCTGAAATTTAGCAAATAACTGAGAAAAAAAAGAAACTGTGTCACCCCAAACATGACTGATTTTATGAAATAACTTCAGACTTATCTTAAGCCTAACCACAGTCAATAAAAACTCGTTATCATGGTGGATTTCTTTTTTCTAAATGAACATGTTGATCAATATCCAGTTTCACTGTCACCAAAAAGGATTATATAACAGATTTTAACTATTTTGATAAGATTTCGTTGTTAATAACGTGCTAGTAATTCTATCTATTTGAACTTTAAGCATTTCTTCATTGAGGGGAAAACAGCCCTTTATGTTAAAAAAAAAATTATCAGTGCATCGATGAGTTGTCTAAATGAAAAAAAAACCGGTGAGAATTCTGCATTTTTACATTTTAAAAAGTGACATTCAACGTGCCTTAAAAAATGGAGATTGTTTAATATTTTAACCCGCATTTGTTGAAATAACGCGAATATTAGAAGGTAAGGGTAAGGTTAGTAACCGGGATATGTATTTCAAAAGAAATGAGCGATGTGTGCGTGTGTGGTATAAGAAAGAGAGGAAAGACATGCAATTTGTTTGTCACTTACACATATGTCCTTAACAGAAAGGTTGAGATCACTCAGAACACCAATTTTAATGAGAGTTTGCAAATTTTGGTATAAGTCTTAAACATTAGGGTTTGAAGTTGCTTCTGTTGGCCCCGTCTTCATTAGCCTGGATAGAGCAGAACAGTACATTAAGCCCCCTTTTTGTGGATTTCTGAACAGGATTAGGTTTTCTCGTGAATGAATCGGTTTCATTTCTAGAAAAGAATCAATTTTTTCTTAATGCATTTCAGTAGAGAAGAGTTTCTTATAAGAGCCCATTATTGCTTTACAGCCATGTTGACGAGTTATTACTGGCAAGGCCGTATAATAAATCATTTATATTGTCAAGTTATTAGAGAGACTATAAAAATGAGAGACTTAATGGATATATCACATAAATTGTCTATAGATATTAAATGAAAGTTTATACCCATTACATAACCCTCAAACCACTATCATTAGAAGCCAAAAGCCGCTAATCGTAAATATAGAAGTGAGTAATTTATCCCTAAATTTTGGGAATTTGGTGTTTCCAGATTAAGATGTGTGATAGTGTCGTTCAGAAATCGTTTAACGTTTATATCGCAGGACATATTGTGATTTCCAGCTATTAAGAAGTTGATATAACGTCACATGATGTCTGTTTAGACTACTTAATGATAGTCGTAAAATATTTACTTTTGATAAATTTAGAACTAAGTTCTCACAAATTTCTGCAAATTAACTGAACGCAGATGCCAGATGTGGAAGATGCCGAAGTAGAATTCTCTGAAAAAAATCCCCACCATCTGTATTCTTAGAGCAAAGATCACGTCGAAGAGAACTGAAATTCTATAATGAATGGATAAAAAGCAGACATGATTTAAAACGCACGTGTGGTGGGCGTTGCCGTTTGAACTGTGTGCGAAAGACAGCTAAGCTAATAGAAGTTTTCTTTTTTTTTGTATTAATTGAAGAATAATCAAAAAAGCCATGTTTTTATTTTATTCAATTGCATTTTTGAAGAGCGAATTCAAGAGGATTACAGTCCAAACGCATGAAGTTAGTTTCGTGTCGTATATGCATTTACAGTTATTAGTCTTACTAAGGATTTATATGTCACATAAACCCTTGTTTGGGCGGAACACAAATTTGAGAGTGCTTTAAGATGGGCCGATAAACATTTTATTTATTTAAATGTTACAGGAATGAGGTCTGACATTTTTCTAAAATAGTGATGTTGACTATTGGAATAAAGAAAAATATAAACCTATGTAAAATACCAGCTCAATGTTCGTGGATAGATCTTAATTCTCGTTAAACCAGAGAAATAAAGATGGCGGCGTGAACTCGGTAGAAAATAAAAGTGAATTTGAATAATATTTGGCCAGTTTGCTTTTTATCATGTATAGTCTTATATTTCCAAAATATTGGATATGTAACGATATTGTGTTGCTGAATTTCGCATCTTTTGTTTCTAATTAACAAGGAAAGTGTTTTTGTTATATTTATATAATAATGCATTTGATTATCTTATCAAAACTTCATTACTTGACTGAATAAACTCGAGGTATGACATCCGATAATGCAAATTCTTGTGTGTCTGTAACTTTGGCTAAGTGATAGCAACAGCGTCGTTGGCGATTTATCAAATTAGTAATGTACGCGTAAACCTCTTGCTTATCCAATCTCTCACTTACAAAGAACACAATAGAAATTTACCCTTCCAAACATTATGGCACTTAAGGTGAAATAATATAAACATTTTCATATTCTCATTTCAAAACATTTGTGTTCACATGACACTACAAATGTGTGTTTCACCTGTTGAAGACGTAACTTGTATTGTTTAAGATTACACCCTCGTCATTCTTTTGCGCCTAACTTTCATTGATAGAATTTTCTTGGCGTTTCCTTTCCAGTGGTGATTGCCGTATTAACATGGCGATCCCTCTCCATCTTGTTTACTTAACCGGAAACAACATTATCAGCTGGTATTGAACACGCGCCACACATGGAGTCGGATTTCTGAAATTTCGAGAGATGACGGAAATCCTTAATGGCTTTATATTATGAAGACATGAAAAACCTAAACGAAATGTTTTCTTAGTTCAAGACAGTGTTTCTTTTTATGTTTTGGATATTTCCGTTGCACTTTATTTAAAGTAAGAATCTCCTTAATTCCGTTTTGATATTATCATTAACACATATTTCAATACTTCTTGACGTATTAGATTTAGCTGATATATCAAATTTGGAGTGATATATTATTTTTGGAGTAAACTTGTTTTGCAGAAAAATATTATCAAAATGTATCATGTTATCAACAGTTTGTTCGCGGCTGTTACCTAAGGACTATCTTATGAAAACCTGATAAAATGTCACAATAGCCTTGTATTATGCGAATATCAACGACATTTGCTGTCAAACACTATACACGTACATGTTTTTACTAACAAGCAAACGAAGCAAGACTCCAGCTTTAAGAGAAATAGGGAGATAACATAATATGCGACCCCTTTTTATACGTCTGCATATTAGTGGGGGCGTATTATACCGACCCTCTTTATCCCCCCCCCCTTTTAGGTGACCCCCAATCAACAGTTGTTACCGGATTTGTTTGTGCAGATTTGGTGTCATTATACGAACCTTATCGGTATTCTGCGTTATTTGACCTTGTGTTCCAGACTTACGCCCCATATTTCAAAGACCCTATTTTTAACGGTGGGAAGCATTGGGGTCATACCTCTTTACGAAAGCATTGCGAAAGCGTAAGAAGCTACATATTTATTTTTTTTCTCCAAATTTGGTGAGAAGCAATAAGACTGTGAGTCGATGAACCCTATTGTTTTTACCTGGAGTATGAATCCTACTGATTTTCATATTTTGGTTAAAGCATTAGGATCGGAAAGGATGAATCAGCATTCTATGTATTTTGTTCAAGAGTTATTTTACTTATCTGGAAAAGCTTGTGAACTACGATAGAGATCATATTTTTGAAGGCATAAACGGCCCTTATCTAATTTGGTCAACTGCCTTTTTGATAAGTTGTTGCCTATTTATTTTTTACGATACATACATGTACCTCTTATGTGTAGTTGCTTTGGGCGTGGCTATCTTTCCATATGGAGTAGTCTAAATTTAATTCTATTTCTTAAAAAAAGGAATATATACCGTGTAACAAGCAATGTAGATTATAATTACTATATAGGTATATCCCATGATAGATGCCCCTCACATTCCAGCGCCTACATTCTTGCAACCTTGGCCAATCTGTTATATAGATGCTGATGGTATAATATTAAGAATGAAGGGAAGGCTATTGTTTGTTTATAAGCTGTATCTTATAACAATGTAATCAACAGGTGTTAAACAGGTAGATATAGATAGATGGTTTATCATTATATACCATTACTTACCATCAAATACCTGGAGAAAGGTTAGCTCTATAGAGATCATTCAATTCCCCACCCATTATCTATCTACATACGCCACAGATACCTATATTATTGTAGTCTTGTAAACCTATCACCCCAAAACAAGATCTATTAACATGGACGTAAAAAAGAATATTAATTTTATTGTGAATCTTAACGTTTCTATTAGAGAATTTCATTTAAAGGAGCTAACTCGCTAATATTTTGGATCTAGAAATTCACACAAATGAGTCGCAACGTATATAATAATGTAATGTTAATGTATATAAACTGATTTACATTCAATCGTTTCTATTTTTACTGCAATTTCTAATCAGTTATGTTCGGCGAAATACGCCAGAAGTCTCAAACCGATAGTATTTATTGCGCATGCTCTCCAGATAAGAATATGACGTCACCGTTTGACATGACTTGTGGAATATATCTAGCCTCTTTCTACGAGTCCCTTGTTTAAAATGTTTTATAATCGGTAACCTCGTCCAGAAGAAGAATATATCCCATCTATCTAATAGAATGTCCCATAAAGGAAGAAGAAGAAGAAGAAGAGGAAGAAGAAGAAGAAGAGGAAACTTAATTGAATAAAAGCCTTACATAAATAAAATAACTGTATACACGAAACAAACACACAAACATGCATACAAAATTACACAGAGATATAAATGTATTGTACACGTATATAACAGCTCCTAAGCATTTTAATAATTTTGAATTTTTATTCTGCATCAATATAAATTGCATAAGAAAACAATGTAAAAAGCAATGTAGTGTGCTTTTTAACGTTGAATTTAGGGATTGTTGCTGGTGATCAAATTAGTTGAACTTTTATTTATAAGAAAAGTAACAACCCCGGAAATATTTCCCACCTACCTAATTAGAAGAAAAATGTAGAATTAATTGAACTTCAGATATACGTAATTAATTATTCCAACATCCTTAATTTCTGGCAAAAGTTGGGCAATTCCTTTGAAGATACAACCCAAAAATTCTAGTTATGTCAAAACGGAACAAGCTATTAGAGATCGGTGAACCCAATTCTTTATCGAAACGTAATAAATAGTTTCTAAATACATTTCATAAACCTTTTATGATGCGGACATTATGAAGAATGGCATGCAACATATATATTACTGGAATGCGAAGACTAAGATGCAATTGCATTTTTGTGCAAGTAACAAAACAAAAATCACAAATTCTTGTCTAAATTTAAAATTTCACTTAAGTCATCAAAGTGTATCGAGGAAATACGCCCTTTAAGACAATTAGGTTAGTTGATGCCTTTAAGTGCAACATGTAAGTGCTAATATTTAATTTCAAATACACCGGCACAAGTATTACTTACTCAACGTTATGTAATGGCTTGAAATATGGTCCACCTTTTAACAGTGACTGATATTGTTTCCGCGCTACACTCAAATTAAAAACACCGAACAGACGCCTACAAGTTCCTGTTGTTGGCAGTAAATATTTACGTTGGGTTTGATAGGTGTTAAGTTGTTGACATTGGATATGTATTTTTGTATAATACAATTGTCTAAGTTCCCATATACGTCAAGCATGTTTATTTATATTTATACATATGATATTTTTAAGTTAAAGGTTTGCATGAAATGCATAAACTTACAGCATGAATTGAATAAAAAATCTTTGAAACCGGATCCGCACAGAATGGCCGGATATTCACAAAACTTCAATTCTGCAGTAAATGGAGGAATTTGGTAATGTAACTAAATGGGAAGCTACTGCCTACATGTGGGCTGTTAAATGACTAGAACAAAAATATTAATGGTTAAAGGGAAAACCCGAAGAATCTCAGAACACTTTAGCATTGTCCCAAGCACCTATATCAACGTCCAGTTGTCCAGTGGCAGAGTCGAAGATGGTCGAGTTGAAGAAGAATCTGATCCTCTGTCAGAATGTTACGCGATCAAACCAAGACTTGGTCGTTTGACAACGTGAATTGGAAGGATGCATTGATCTAGGCCTAGCGGAAGATTTTATGTGATTTGATGAAAAATATGCTAATAGTCATATAAAAATAAACGTATGTTAGTCTAAATAATATGATAGGAGTATTGTATGGATGGGGCATTATATTCCTGTCTTTTCCCATTTTAACACCCAACGAGGTATTAAAGATAACCCGGGTAATAGATTTTCGCAAGGTCTGCTAACTTTTGTCCCTTTTGAGACTCCATACATATTTAATACATTCAAGTTTAAAGAGAATAATAATAAAGAAAGAATAGACGCTTCCCACCATTAAAATATAGACTTATCAACACGGTATAATATTCCCTCTCTTTATCTTATCAACAGTCTTTCATGTGCCCATCTAAATCTTCGCCTCGTAAAATCTAAGTACAGTCGTTATATATCATCATACGTACAGTTGACAATTATTTGTATGGTCCTGTGTATCAGGACTAAGTAGCCATTATTTATATCGTCAATATCACGGTGTTTGCATGAAATATAAGCTGGGATGACTGTCGCTACACCCCAAAATAAAATTAGATGTAATTTATCTTAGCTGTAAAGAGAGAAGAAAACATGCCCCTTACTGATCTCTCTGATAAAATATGTTGTTGATGATCAGATCGTGAAATGTCGCAGGATGAATTAGAATTAACTCAACGAGTTTCAACGGTTTTGCCATGCATACAAAATTTGTATTTTATGTCAGTTTATGGAGAATGTGTAAATAGGTGATAATTGATTGAAAATGGCTATGATGTTAAAAACGTAATTATATATAATAATATAAATACAACAGACATGTGTACGTCTCCAATACATGGGAAGTGGTATTATCTGTTCTAAAATGAGGAGGCGTGGTCCGTCTCGTGCACTATGCAATTCACTGAGGTTAACATACTGGACGTTTTCTAAAGTTCCGAGTCGAGAAATCCAATGCTATTTTACCACATTCAACGAACGTATTCTGGGAAGTCAAGACAGTATAGGGTATGAGCATAAAATATGCGCTTATCTTAATCTTAAGCCTGTACTGATATGCCCCCTTTTCCACATTTTAAAGTTGACGTGAAAAGTGCAAAAAGTAAACGTGCAGATTCTTTTTTTTCTTATAGCTTCATATCTGTCCATCTTTTCTATCATCACGGATCAGATCTGTACAGTGATACCACCCAAACTGGCGTAGTTTATGGAACTGTTTATCTCTGGAAAATTTATCAAAGAAATATATTAATAAACACAAAACCCACACAGAAATCGGTATTTGGGGATGATTTCATCTTTTACTTCAATAGTTATATTTACCGGTTCCTTGCTCCAATCTCTTGAACTAAAGCGTCATCAATATGGAATCATTATCAAAAGTGTCCAAAAGCAGAAGAGCTGCTTTATTCAGATCGCAGCATGTGTATACATGATACAACAATAAAACCATACCTTCAGCTGTTTCGTTCCCTAATACTTGGTGGATATAAACAGGATTTCGTAATTGATCAATCTAAGTAAGTTAACATTACTTCTAGATGCCATTCAGGACTATTGGTGGTGGGGGAATC